AATCAGGCCACTACTATTCCAGAAACTCATCCTGGACTAACAACACTAATGACACACGGGAGAATGCTGGCACATACAGCATTGTCAGCTAACACAAGATGGTCATACAATCGAGCACTCACTTTATTTAACAGGTTTACCACAGAATACCAAATACGAAACCCGTTCACATTAGATACTATGCTGGCCTTTACCTCTTTTTGCCACCTAAATCTAAAACTCGCTCACAATACCATAAAACTCTATCTAACAGGTATACAATACCATGTCACAAACACCTACCCCAGCCACAGTACCTTCCTATCATCAAATCCAATTAAAAACATATTAAAAAGGTATCCTAAGGTTGAAAGGCCCCAAAACCACAAGATGACAACCAATAGATGGGGGAAAGTTCAGAGCCCTATCCAAAGTGTGAGACTCACAACCCTTTTGAAACAGAAACAAACAACACCATCAAAACCGCTATGTTTCTGGCATTTTACGGGTTTCTACGGCCTAACAAATTTACAGTAGGGAACCCCAGTGACACCACCATATGCTCACAGTGGGAAACCTAAACAAAGTAGGAGACCACTACATTTTGACCCTACACACCACCAAAACCAACCAAATGGGGCCACCCGTGGACATACCACTATTTCCCACAGGCAACAAATGGTGCCCGGTTAAGTTACTATACCAATAAATTTCAGCCCGCACAGGTCTAGACAAGGCCGCTCCTCTTCTTCGCTTACACGGCAACCCACTGACAAGTCCAAGTTCACGTCATACATAAATACCCTAATCACAAAAATAGGGAGCGATCCAACAGCCTTCACGGGCATTCGTTTCGTATAGGAGCAGCAACCGCTACCTAAAGCCAAAACGTTCCGGTACACATAATTAAAAGGCTGGGACGATGGAAGTCATCGGCTTACAATCTATATATACCACAACCAGATAAAGAGCTAAGACAAGCATTTCAAGAATTGACCGGCCTATATAAGCTCAAACCTACCTCCATACTGGGCTGACGTCCACTGGTCACCCCACCTTACTAGCATATCAGGCTTGTGTTTTGTATAAAAACACTGGTATGTGTATGTATGGTATGTCTATGACATAAATGTAAGATGTCATCACCTTGCTAAATAAAAACAATTTGCATGCACATATCTCAGCTTAATGGACCAATCTGCTTCTGTAGTGGGCTCTATGCATTCTAAGATCTGCTCTTACAAGGATTATTGGTTATTTGTGGTCTGACCAAATTCACCATAAAATCGTTGTAAAGAGAGCAGGGCAGTAAAAACTAGGCAGGTGACCATAATGTTTCGAGCATGACATGATGATATAGAGATCTTTAAAAGCCAGGAAATAAAAAAAATGGGATTTATTTTAAAATGGTAAAATATTGCTCAGCAGTAATATTGCTAAATTAGTGAAAATGGTAATCTAATAACACCAGCACGCAGTCTTACCTGTTTTATGCATATAGTTACTTAACCTTAAACAGAATCTAACGAAAGATAAAGAATTTAAACCAAAATATTTACTTTCACAATAACTGTCTATGGCAGACGGAGGTGATAAATGTAATAAAGTAAAGTAATAAATTTACTGTAGATAATTATAGACCCAATGTGGACATCGAAGTGGAGTAGCCACTGCAACAAAAAATGACAATACTTTGCTAACTGGTACCTCTCAAGACAAAACAGCCAAACTGATCTAGAATGTATTTATAAATGTATGTAATATGTTTAATGATAGAATTATATGTGTGATTATAATGTAATCATTCTGATGATCAGATCTACCATAATACACTTGGGCTTGGTGGTTTGTCATTAAAAAATCCATTCGCAACTATGTACTATACAACATTTGGTATGGCTACAAGCTTTTTCTTTAAAAATGTGAACTGTAAACTGTACAATATATCCGTAAATAATAATGCTACTATTAAATAGAAAGCAATGGGAAAAGCTCATAAAACAGCATGTGTTTCTTTTTGGAACATATTTATAAATATCTTTTAGTGCTGTATTTTTTTTTAAATTTAAAGGAACACTATAATGTTAGGAATACAAAGCTGTATTTCTAACACTTTAGGAACCCCCTGCCATGATTCCCTTGTCCCCTACATGTATAGGGTTCACTTACATGATTCTAGGGCTGATGTCGCTTCGTTCTGGGTCGGGCTCCTCCTCCCCCAAAGTTAGTCGATGATGGTAACCTAATGAGCTGCGAGCACCAGATGTGCATTAGGCCTTCCCTATAGGAAAGCATTGATTCAATGCTTTCCTATCAGATTTTTCAACATGTTGGATATCCTCATGCAAAACTTAATGATGTTCAGCATTGTTTTTTTTATATATCAAACTCTGTGAAAATGCAGGGACTGCCTCTAGTGGCTGTCTTGTAGTTTAACGGTTTGGAGTGAATGTATTGACAAGCCAGGACAGAATAAGGTAGGTAGAAATTAACTGTGCAATCCAGGACAAATTCAAGCAGGCAGAGGTTAACCCAGAAATCCAGGACAGGATTAGTCAGGCACAGGTTGCCAGGCAATCCAGGACATGATTAGGCAGGCACAGGTTACCAGGCAATCCAGGACAGTATTAGACAGGCAGAGGTTTAGCAGGCAATCCAGGACAGGGTTAGTCAGGCACAGATTACCAGGCAATCCAGGACAGGATTAGGCAGACAGAGGTTTGCCATCCAACCAGAATAGGATCAGGCAGGATCTTGCACGCAGGGCTTAACTGTGGCAGGTTCAGACAGGTGAGGGTTAACCAGTGCAGAAAAGGCTTTTAACCTATCCAGGGTTCACAAGTCAACCAAGCAAAGAATCCATAGTATTCTGGGTTTAAATAGTTGAGAGGGAATGGGAGCCTAGGTTCCCTCTCCCTAGAATGTAGGTATTAAACCTAATAGCTAATAGCTTGACTTCTTTTCTGTGGTCTGGGGTCAGCTGATAGTTCTCAGCTAATGAGCTAAGCCTCTGCAATTTGTAAAGCGAAGAAAGCTTCCTGCCGCAGAGAGGAAGAGGCACCCGATACAAAGTAAGAAGTCAAACCATTAGCAAAATGTTCAAACCATTACATGACTGTAGAGGATATGGTCCTTGGAACAATCCTTTAATGCTGGTATATCTTATATTTATTCAATATTAAATTGAGGCCAAAGACCCAAGTATTTTTTATTAAGAAATAGTTAAATTCTGAGCAGCATCAATACTAGCTAAATGGAAAGTTTGTTTCAGTAAATAATACAAAGAAGAAGCCTCACATATATATGTCATTGACACAATAGCATCTACCCTGCCAATTTTTTTATATTTTTACCTTATTATGTTTTCACCACCAAATAATACCGTACATCCACTTTGCATGTTTTAGCAGTCTAGCATGTTACAGTTGTTCAGTTGTGTCTCCCCAGAAGACTTACTAAGGAATTTTTGGTTTAGGGTAGCTGAAAGCTCGGACTGGGATATTGTAAAATTGTAGTTTAAAACATCATATACCTAATGGATGGAATTTCTTCAATATATAATACTTTAAATTAGTCTTTGGACTGCTTTGCAATTTGATACATTACTGCCAAAGGTGTAAATCACTTATATATTTAATAAAATATACCATTAAATATACAAATCATTGAAGATATTATATTTAGTAAACCAAAATCAATTAAAAAAACAAACCCGTCAGAAAGAGACTACTTAAAAAAAAATAAAACACAAATATTGTTTATTGTTTGATGAGAGAGTCTATGTCAGGATGTCAAAGTTAAGGTTACCCATAAAGACACAAAAAAGAGAAACCAGTGGGTAGCAGCAAAAGATAATGTAAATGGGTTGCAATAGATAGCAGTATATTACAGATATATTTAATCATATGAACAAAGTATATAAAAAAATTACAATATAATTATGTTGATAAACATTTTTTCTTAACGAGTGAATGTTAGGGTTAATACAAGGTTAAACTGCAAACTGATATCACTGTAATTTACATCAATGTCTTGATAAAGGTTATATATGGTGACAGAAACATTGCCTTTTGCTAAGCAGAGGTAATTGTGCACATATTCAACCAAAACAAAAACCTTGAATTTGAGCTATAGTTTTGTTCTTTCGTAAAGGTTTCTCTTTTCTCGATTTAAAGGTTTCTCTTGAAGTACCCCCGTATAGGCATGTGCATGGGGAAAATTTTCGGTTCGCTTCGGCATTCCGAAATTCGTGATTTTCGCAATTCGGGACTTCGGAACTTCGTCACTTCGAAACTTCGGCATTTCGGAATTTCGGGACTTCGGCACCTCGGGACTTTTATTGCAGCCGCTTAGTAGATAACTCCCTAATTCCCACGGTATTAGGGAGCTATCTACTAAAAAGCTGAAAGACCTAAATTGGTCTTTCAGCCAAATTTACTAATACTAAGTAAAGATTACTTAGTATTAGTAAATTATGCCCCTACTGGCTATACCGCGAGTAGGGGCATGTCTATTAAACAGTGAGCAGCCTGTGGCTGCTCACTGTTTAAAAAAAAAAATAGGGTCCCCCCTCTCGATAAAAATAACATTATGGGGGGACCTATTGTCCTCCCCCTGGCCCCCACCCCTGAGCTGCAGGTGGGGGCCCTAAATTGGAATAAGGGGGGACCAAATGTCCTCCCCCCTTGCCCCCACCCCTGAGCGGCGGGTGGGGGCCCTAAATACTAATAAGGGGGGACCTAATGTCCTCCCCCCTGGCCCCCACCCCTGAGCGGTGGGTGGGGACCCTAAACAAGAATAAGGGGGGGACCTAATGTCCTCCCCCCTGGCCACCACCCCTGAGTGGCGGGTGGGGGCCATAGACAAGAATAGGGGGGGACCTAATGTCCTCCCCCCTGCCCCCCACCCCTGAGCAGTGGGTGGGGACCCTAAACTAGAATAAGGGGGGGACCTTATGTCCTCCCCCTGGCCCCCACCCCTGAGTGGTGCGTGGGGGCTGTAAACAAGAATAAGGGGGGGGACTAATGTCCTCCCCCCTGGCCCCCACCCCTGAGCTCCAATTTAGGGCCCCCACCCGCAGCTCAGGGGTGGGGGCCAGGGGGGAGGACAATAGGTCCCCCCATCACATTACTTCAGGGCCCCCACCCGCCGCTCAGAGGTGGGGGCTGGGGGGGCAATAGGTCCCCCCTTTAGTTTAAAAGTCCCCACTCGCGCGTCACGGGTGGGGGCTCGGGAGGGGTACCCTATTTATTTATTTATTTTTAAACAGTGAGCAGCCACAGGCTGCTCACTGTTAAATAGACATGCCCCTACTCGCGGTATAGCGAGTAGGGGCATAATTTACTAATACTAAGTAATCTTTACTTAGTATTAGTACATTTGGCTGATAGACCAATTTAGATCTTTCAGCCTTTTAGTAGATAGCTCCCTAATACCGTGGGAATTAGGGAGTTATCTACTTATTCATTCCTGTCATTACATTGACTGTCTAAGTAACTTACATTTTATATGAATGTATGTTACTTGATTGATGTAAGTGTTGCAAATGCTTACAGCTCAATCCTGGCTATGTTTGTATACTTTTTATTTAAAATTGTATACAATGTAACGTTCTTCATTCACTGGGTAAGTATATTAGTACTTAGGCAATACTGTGCTTCGGAACTTCGGCACTTTGACACTTCGGAACTTTGGCACATCAGCACTTCGGAACTTTGGCACTTCGACACTTCGGAAATTCGGTAATTTCAGAACTTCGGGACCTCAGCAATTCGGCACTTCGGCAATTCGGACATTCGGAAGTACCCAAATGTCCGAATTGCCCGAAATTCATCCGAATTCATATTCGGGCCGAAACGAATTGCACATGTCTACCCCCGTACATGATATACAGTTAGGTCTGGAAATATTTGGACACTGACATAAGTTTTGCTACTTTAACTTCTTACAAAAATAAAATCAAGTTAGTTATATAATGATTATGGGCTTTAATTTTAGGATATTCACATTCAAGTTGCAGTAAGGGGTTATCAATTACAGCTCTTTAAAATGTAATCCCCTTTTCTTTTAAGGAACCAAAAGTAACTGGACAATTGACTCCAAAGCTATTTCATAGACAGGTGTGGACAATCAATAACTTGATTGTTATTTCTTCATCAATTAAAGGACAACTATAGTGCCAGGAAAACATACTTGTTTTCCTGGCACTATAGTGACCTGAGGGTGCCCCCACTCTCAGGGACCCCCTCCCACCCGGCTCTGAAACTGCTATGTTTATTAAAAAATGGGTTAACCCTAGCTGGACCTGGCAACCAGACCACTTCATTAAGCTTTAAGCAGGTAAAAGGTCTGGAGTTGATTCCAGGTGTGGCATTCATATTTGGAAGCTGTTACTGTGAATTTTCAACTTGAAGCTCTCAATGCAAGTCAAACAGGCCATGAGAACACACGGTTGAACTCTGCAACACAAAAGGCCTGGTTGTCCACGGAAAACAGTGGTGGATGATCATAGGAGACTTTCCACTGTAAAGAAGCCCTTGACAACATCTGAACACTCTCCAGACAGTAGGCATATCATTAACAAAGTCTACCATAAAAAGAAGACTTCAATAAAGTAAACACAGAGAGGGTTCATCACAAGTTGCAAACCATTCATAAGCCCCAAGAATAGAATAGCCAGATTAAGTTTGGCAGAGTCCATATCAGTAGACACCAAAAACATTTGACAAGGTCAGGTGGAAGTTCTTAAAGGAAACTCTAGATGAAATAGGATTTTTTGGGCAAAATAATAGATGCAGTCATGATCCTTTATTCTAAACCATCTGCCAGAATAATGGGAAGCGGATTTTGTTCTGACTGGTTTATGGTAAATAATAGATTCAACAAGCTTGTCTCTTGGGCCTCTTATTTTTTGACATTAGAATCAAAACCTTTGCTTTGGCTGTAAGGCAAAATGGAGGTATAGAAAAGTTTGACCATCTTTATCACAACTTTAAAATTATAAGGTATGCAGATGATGTATTGCTGATGCTGCATAACCTTTTAGAATCAATGACAGAACTGACAAAAACTATAGAGGATTTTGTGTGCATGCAACAGTGCTATTTAGTAATGTATCCCATGAACTAAAAGAAGCGTTAATAGAAAAATTTAGATTGGTAAGTAATAATACCTTTATAAATTATTTGAGAAAAAAAAATTGTGATACAGTATCCAAGATAGTAAAAAAATATTTTATGCCATTACTAGAGGTGAGCGAACCCGGACTGTAAAGTTCGGGTTCGTACCGAACATTAAGTTTTTTGGACCCCGGACCTGAACACGGACGTATCACTGTAGGTTCGGGTTGGAGTTCGGTGTTTGGCCATTTAATGGTGCGTTTTCAAAGGCGATCAACAAGCGTTGATTTGATTTGTGTGCCCTTAGAAGTCATCACAGCCATGCCTACTAATGGCATGGGTGTGATTGGCCAGTGCAGCATGTGACTCAGCCTCTATATATAAGCTGGAGTTGCGTAGCGCCGCACGCACATGAGCTCTTATTAGTGTAGGGAGAGGATGCTGCCACTGTGAGGGACAGCTTAGGAAAGAATTTAGCAAACTAGTACATTAGTGGGGTGCACTTCATATCTGAGAGTCAAATAGAAGCGTCAAATAGTGCGGTTACAGCGCAATTGTAAACATTCTTATTTTCTGGGTGCTAATCTGCTTAATAGCAAATTTGGGGTGTGCTCTTCATATCTGAGAGTCAAATAGAAGCGTCAAATAGTGTGCTTACAGCGCAGTTGTAAACATACTACTTGTTTTGCTGCTACATAGTACATATTGGGCATGCTCTGCATATCTGAGAGTCAAATAGAAGCATCAAATAGTGCGGTTACAGCCCAGTTGTAAAAATTCTAATTCTTTTGCTGCTAAACTGCTAAATAGTACATTTGGGGTGTGCTTTTCATATCTGAGAGCCAAATATAAGCGTCAATTAGTGCTGTGACATAGCACTTCATATCTGAGCGTCAAATAGAACCGTCAAATACCAATATAACACTATTGTAATTAGGGGGCAATACCCTCACAAGTCAAACTGAGACATTGTCTGGGCGGTGGTCAGATGACCGGGACCCAGCATACCCAATGTTGAAGTTAGGAGTCACAGTGTGGAATGGATTAGTAGGGTATGGTGCAGGGTAACTGCACGCCCCCTGGTGTTGAGCACCAGTGTTTGTGCGGCCACATACCAGGACCCTGATGCAGCTTCAGTAAAAAGAGTACTGGATACCAGAAGCCATCACTGCCTGATCCGAAGCTTGGAACAGGATGTGACATTCACTGTAGCGGCTGTGCGCGATTTCTGCGCTCTCATCCTGCTGATGCTTGTCTGTCTGCGCTGCAGCATAACTTTGGCCTTCCCGCTCACCGCCTTGTATGCGACGTGCCCACAAGGTGGAACTCCACCTTGCACATGCTGGAGAGACTGTGCGAGCAGCAGCAAGTGATAGTGGAGTTTCAGCTGCAGCACACATGGGTCAGTCGCTCTGCACCAGACTTTCCCTCCAATTGATCAGAGTTAAAGGATTTTAAGTGGTCTCCTTACAATTACAGGGCCTCTAAAGAGTTGTATTGTATGGCAGCTTGTGGGCCAGGGTGGTTGTGCTTCCCGTCGCCCTCTGCTCCCTTCTTCCTTCATCTGGGTTCATGGAGGTCGCCCTCTGTCTATTGGCAAGGACATAGGTTTGCACCTCCAAAAAGGTCCTGCTGACAATCTCGGGTGGCTCTCGGTAATATGCCAGGCGCCATTACACCTCCTTGCGCACTCCTACCTCATCTCCTGCTGCTGCTCGTCTGTCTGCGCTGCAGCATAACTTCGGCCTTCCCCCTCACCGCCTCATGAGACTGTGCGAGTAGCAGCAGGCGATAGTGGAGTTTCAGCTGCAGCACGCACGGGTCAGTCGCTCTGGGGAACAGAGTTGTCTTTTTTAATATGTCCCAATATTTTGGGGGCTACCCCAATTTAAAAAAATAATATATATATATATATATATATATATATATATATATATATATATATATATATATATATATATATATATATAAACAGTGTTGGCTACCTCCTCCTCCTCCACCGCTGCTTCCACCTACACCGCCACGGTCACCACCTCCTCAACCTATGGGTCACTTAGTATAAATTATGTACACAATAGCAGAGGCTTGTGAAGGCCTTTTCTCCATGCATCAGGAGTTGAGCATTTCTCCATGCATCAGGACTGCAAGAAATGCACCGCAGGCCGCAAATGTTTATTTTTTTATATTTCCCAATATTTTGGGGGCTACCCCAATTAAAATAAAAATATATATATAAAAAAACTGTGTTGGCTACCTCCTCCTCCTCCACTGCTGCTTCCACCTACACTGCCACGGTCACCACCTCCTCAACCTATGGGTCACTTAGTATAAACTATGTACACAATAGCAGAGGCTTGTGAAGGCCTTTTCTCCATGCATTGCATCAGGAGTTGAGCATTTCTTCATGCATCAGGACTGCAAGAAATGCACTGCAGGCTGCAAATGTATCTTTTTTTATATGTCCCAATATTTTGGGGGCTACACCAATTAAAAAAATAAATAAATAAAAAACAGTGTTGGCTACCTCCTCCACTGCCACTTCTACCTACAACGCCACGGTCACCGCCTCCTCAACCTATGGGTCACTTAGTATAAACTATGTACACAGAGGCTTGTGGAGGCCTTTTCTCCATGCATCAGGAGTTGAGCTCAGTTTGAACAATGAGAGAGAATACCCTGCACTTCAACCCTCACTCAAATGGATAATTCTGTTAATCCTCCTGACAGCCATGCTTTAGATTTTGATTTATGTTCTTCCAAAGCTAAAATCAAAGATTCCATCTAGTGCTATTTTATGACTCAGCTGTATTTTTAATTTTTAGGTATTTTATGTTATTTTAAGTGATTTCTCTATCCACATTTGTTTGCAGGGCATTTATCCTACTCTTACCCCCATTTTACTTCCCTTTGCAGCCCTCTAGCCCTTTCCAGAACTTTATTAGAGGCATTTTAGTGCCCAAAAGTTCGGGTCCCCATTGACTTCAATGGGGTTTGGGTTCGGAGTCAAATTCGATTCCGAACCCAGACTTTTCTTTCAAAGATCATCCGAACCAACCGGACCCGAACATCCAGGTGTCCGCTCAACTCTAGCTATTACTTAAGCAAACAAATAAACAACTTAAAAATTGGAAGCACGTGGATATCTTTTGGTGGGTGAGAGTAAACACATTTATATCATATATTTTCACCAAGTGGTCCAAGCTATTCAGATTGGTCCTTATAGAGCTTCCAAGTAACTGTTCTTATGTGTATTAAGGACCTATGAACTCTGGGAAGATGAATCCTAAAAGTAAAAAGAGCAGACATATCAATTCTAGAGTTATTAATGATTTATTAAAAGGTTGGTATTTAAAAAAAAAAAAAAAAACTTAATTTAAATAACAAGATTATTGCGTTGCTAACTATGGCAATCTTGAAGTTCAATATATCCGATATCAATATAGAAAATGGGAAATAGCTGTGGTATACCGGATCAAAGGTCTGCTAGTTAACAAGTAAATAAAACCATTTGACCAGATGCAGAAAGAGACATACTTCATTTTAAAAATTAAATATTGTTCACAAAAATCTCTAAATTCAACACATCCTAAAGAAGTTTTGGATTTAGACAGTATAATGATAGGTAAAAAATTCAAAATCTCTACATACATATTTTTATTTTTTAAAGATGAGCCTTAGTACATACGAGGTCTGTTTGGAAAAAGTCCAGTCAATGTCAATATAACGAGAATGATTGATTGATTTATGCGACATCGAAGTAACTTGGCAGCCGAGAAGAGTAGACTGGAATTATCATTATTATTATTGCCATGTATATAGTGCTAACAGATTCCGTAGTGCTTTACAAAATTATGAGATGGAGGATTTAACTATAAATAGGACATTTACAAGAAAACTTACAGGAACGATAGGTTGAAGAGGACCCTGATCAAACAAGCTTACAGTCTATAGGAGGTGGGGTATAAAACACATTAGGACAAGAAATAGCAATCCGATAAGGTGGGAGTGAAGCAGAGTTGGAGGAGAGAGTAAAGTGCTGCCCTTTAGGAGAGAACAAGAGATAGGTATGTGAGGTAAGGGTTATGCTGGGAGGCCATAAGCTAAAGAAGTGCTTTAAGGCACTTCTTAAACAATTGAAGACTAGGGGAAAGTCTGATGGTGGGAGGCAAGCTATTCCATAGGAAGGGAGCTGGCTGCGAGAAGTACTGCAAGCGTGAGTTGGCGAGCAGCATACAGGAGAAGGTCACAGGCAGAGCAGAGAGACTTAGAAGGGGCATACCTATGGATCTGTGAAGAGATATGAGGGGCTAGAACTGTCCAGTGCTTTATAGGTATGGGTTAGCACTTTGAACTGATTCCTTTAGGATTCAGGAAGCCAATGTAAGGACTGACAGAGGGGTGAGGTGTGAGAGGACAGCCTAGAGAGGAAAGTCAGTCTGGCCACATTCATTACAGACTGTAGTGGGGCTATACGGCTTTTGGGAAGACCAATTAGGAGAAGGTTACAATAATACATTCAGGAAATTGCTAGAGCATGGACAAGATCCTTGATAGCATCTTGCATTCGAAAGGGGCGGATGTGGGCTAAGATGGAATATACAGGATTTGGCAACATACTGGATGTGAGGCTCAAAAGGTGAGACCAGAATTAAGCATGATGCCAAGACAACGCGCTTGCAAGGATGGACTTGTGGATACCATTAAGGGAGAGTGAAAGAGGAGTGAAAGAGGACGGTCAGTATTAGGAGGAGGAAAGACAAGGAGCTCAGTTTTAGAGAGATTGAGTTTCAAAAAGCGGGAAGACATCCAGTCAGAGATGGAAGAAAGGCAAGCAGTGACAGATTGCAGGATGGCAGGGGAGAGGTCCGGGGAGGAGAGATATATCAGGGTGTAATCAGCATACAGGTGGTAGTGGAATCCAAATAAATAGGCAATAAGTTTGACAATAGAAGCAGTATAAAGAGAATAGAAGGGGACCAAGGACAAAGCCTTGGGGGACTCCAACCGAGACAGGACGAGGGGACAAGGTATCATTAGAAAATGAGACACTGAATGAGCATTGGGAGAGATAAGAGAAAACCCACGAGAGGACAGAGTCACAGAGACCGGGTGATTGAAGAGTTTGAAGAAGGAGGCAGAGGTGAGGGTAATGTTATATGGGGAGATGGCCAGTTAAGGGACAGGAGAGGGAAGGGATCTATAGCAGTTGTGAATCAATATCAGCTGACAGCTGCTTGAGGTCAATAGAATTAAGGTTCCTCCTGAGTTGAGGGAGGTTAGGGTGAGGGGCTAGTTGAGAGAAAATGATAAGATATGGTGTTCAGAGAGAGGAAATGCAGTGTTGCAGATATTGGATACTGTACATGCATAATAGAAAATGAGGTTGAGGGTATTGCCAGCTACATGGGTGGGATAATTAGCCCACTGTGATAAGCCGAGGGAGAAAGCAATTGAAAGTAGTTTAGAGGTGGCTAAGGTCAAAGGTGGGTTAATGGGAATATTGAAGTCCCCGAGAATTAGGGATGGAATATAAGAAGAGAGGAAGTAGGGTAGCTAGGCAGCAAAGTGGTCAAGGAAGAGGGGGGCGATACATAATGGCAATGTTAGCAGAAAATGGTTTGAAAAGGTGAATCGAATGAACAGTTTGTCAACAGAGGGATTTCAGGTGAGGAGAGGTTTAATGACTTGAATAGTATGTTTTGAAAACCAGCTGATCTGCACTATCTATAAGTATGGTTATAACCATGGGGCGGTGCGACTAGCCTTCCAGAGATGGTACCTCTGCTTAGGCTTTTCTGCAGTGCTTCGTTGCTTGTGAGTACTGGGTGTTGCTAATCATTGCTGTTATTTGGGGCCCAGTCTGAAATATAAGGTTTAGGGTTAGAAGAAAAAAAAAACACCATTGTGAATGGGGGAAATAAAGATATTGAGGTAAGTAGAGATGAAAAACCAGAGGAGATACATTTGAGATAAAAATATATGAAGGATCAGATAGGTGAAAGTCATAAACAGTGAACATACATTTACAAGACTATCAGTGAAAGAAGTAACACTAGCTAAACAAACAATTAACAAAAAATCATAAAGAATGAACATAAAATAACAAGACTATAAACGCACCAACTTAAAAAAAAAGATCAGGATGGGGGATATAATAGTTATCAATTAAGTAGTGAGATTATTGGGAGGGAGGTGGAATGGAACACAATTTTAAATTAAGAAATAAAGGGAAACAATAAGTAGTACATGTAATTCTTGAATAGATCTTCCAGAGATGATACCTCTGCTTAAGCTTTTCTGCAGAACTTGGTGGCTTGTGAATACTTGCTAACAAATGCTGTTATTCGTGGTCCAGTCTCTGCTTAGGCTTTTCTGCAGGGCCTGGTTGCTTGTGAGTACAGGATTTTGCTAATCAATGCTGTTTTTTGGGGCCCAGTGTCTGCTTAGGCTTTTCTGCAGTGCTTGTGAGTACTGGGTGTGTGCATGTATGAACAATGACAACCTTTACTAGTTAGTAGGGGTGCTAAACACCATTCAGTGAGCATGTGTACTATGTAGCTGCCGCATTCTAAATGACTGAGCTAGTAGAGCAACAAAATTGCATCAAGTTTTGCATTAAGATTTAACATTTTTCTGAGGAAACTATTTGGATGATGCAGAAGGCTTTCTGGTATGATGCAATGAGTGCAGCACAAATAAAAGTGTGGCACAAATCAGGGCCGGACTGGCCCACCGGGATACCGGGAAATTTCCCGGTGGGCCGTCGGCACCTGGGGCCGGGCAGACACCTGGGTCTGCTGGCGGCCGCTGGGGAGGTCTGCTGGGGGACTTGTATTGGCGGCCGCTGGGGGAGCTGCGCTGGCTCTGCTCCCCAGCGCGCAGCTGAATGAGACCGGCGCCGGAATATGATGCCATATTCCGATGCCGGTCTCATTCAGCAGCGCACGAGGGTGGGAGAGCAGAGCCAGCGCAGCTCCCCCAGCGGCCGCCAGCAGACCTCCCCAGCGGCCGCCAGAAGACCTCCCCCTGGCAGGTATTAGTAATGTGTCAGTGTGAGTTTGTCTGTTATGGTGTGTGTGTCTGTCTGTCTGTGTGTGTCTGTCTGTATGGTGTGTGTCTGTCTGCCTGTGTCATGGTGTCTGTCTGTATGATATGTGTGTGTGTCTGTCTGTGTCATGGTGTGTGTGTGTGTGTGTGTCTGTCCGTCATGGTGTGTTGTCTGACTGTCATGGGGTGTGTGTCTGTCTATCATGGGGTGTGTGTCTGTCCATCATGGGGTGTGTGTCTGTCTGTCCATCATGGGGTGTGTGTCTGTCTGTCCGTCATGGGGTGTGTGTCTGTCTGTCTGTGTCATGGGGTCTGTCTGTATCATGGTGTGTGTGTGTGTGTGTGTCTGACCGTCATGGTGTGTGTGTCTGACCGTCATGGTGTGTGTGTCTGTCCAGCATGGTGTGTGTGTCTGTCTGTCATGGGGTGTGTGTCTCTTTCATGGGGTGTGTGTCCGTCATGGGGTGTGTGTCTGTCTGTCCGTCATGGGGTGTGTGTCTGTCTGTCCGTCATGGGGTGTGTGTGTCTGTCCGTCATGGTGTGTGTGTCTGTCTGTGTCATGGTGTGTGTGTGTGTGGGTCTGTCTGTGTCATGGTCTGTCATGGTGTGTGTGTGTCTGTCATGGGGTGTGTATCTGTCATGGGGTGTGTATCTGTCATGGTATATGTGTGTTTCTGTGTCTGTCATGGTGTATATGTGTGTTTAAAAATAGTGTTTTTGCTCACCTTTTTTTTCCCCCACGCAGCGTGCTGGTCTCCCCTCGAATGGCCCTGCCTCTATAGCTGAGATCATCAAGCTTGATGATCTCAGCCAATCCAATGCTTTGCCATAGGATTGGCTGCAAAACACCACTCCAATCAGCATCTCCTCATAGAGATGCAATGAATCAATGTATCTCTATGGGGAACGTTCAGCACCTACAGAGTGTGGAGGCCCTGAATGTAGGTGCACTAACACAGGAAGCACCTCTAGTGACCGTCTGAGTGACTGTCACTAGCAGTGTCACTTTGAAACAATGTAAACACTGCCTTTTCTCTGAAAAGTCAGTGTTTACGTTGAAAAGCCTGTAGGGACATGCTATAGACACCAGTACCACTACATTAAGATGTGTGTGTGTGCGTCTGCTAGTGAGTGAGCTTGCTTGCATGTGTGTGCCTGCTAGTGAGTGAGCTTATGTCAATGGGCTGATGTATATCAGTGAGATTGTTTGTTTTCCTATGAGGCTGTGTATCAATGAGCTTGTGTGTGTCATTGAGATGTCAGTGAAATTGCCTGTGTCTGCATGTGAGTATGCTTACTGTATAATTAAATGTTTTACTCTGAAAGGACCAATATTTTATATTAGAAAAAGATATATATATATATATATATATATATATATATATATTACTCAATCATCTGTCATGGCAAGACATAGCCTTACATATTACACGCAACAATATATGGCGCAGTGACTTATGGGGCTGGCACAAATTTTTTTTCCAGGGGTGCTTTGTATCCCCAGTCCGGCCCTGGCACAAATGCTTCAAAGGTGTTCCAGAATCTTTTGAAAGATTTGGCCCCCTGCAACTTCTGGCTTTTCCCAAAACAAAAAGTTACCTCTGAAAAGTAAAAGAGTTTAAACATTGATAAGATTTAGGTAACTACAACGTGGCAGCTGATGTTTTTTTCAGAGTGTTTTAAACAGTGGAAGATATGCTGTGAGAACTGTGTGAGATCCCAAGATGCCTACTTTGAAGGGAACTGAGGTGTTGTTGTCCTATGTACAATGTTTCTTGTATCCTATATCTTCTTCAATAAATGTCTCTATTTTTCATATTTTATGACTGGATACTTTCTGGACAGACCTTATTATCTGCAATCAATGAAAAATGGGAAAAAGACATAAGTATAAAAATATTGCTAACTGAATGGATAAAATCACAAAGTCTAGTGAATAAAGCTATCCACTGTTTAAATTTAGCATGTAAACTATACACTGTTTACATTTTAGCAAAATTGTATCTGGTCCCTAGCAGATTGAAGAAGATTTACTTAGAGGTCTCTTTCTAATCATTGCTGGAGATGTGGCGCACATTCAGCAGTTTTATACATATCTGGTAGTCGTGCATCCCACTCAAGATTTTTTGGCACATGATTATGGGGAGACTTAAACAGTTGTTTGGTAAGGAAATATAATTTAACACCGATTGAAAGAGAGGTCTTTATACACAAATAAAGACATATATTTTGCATCTAAACAACTGATCTCTGTTTCCTTTCCACAGCCAGCCCAGGCCTTGTCACCTGAACAACCTGCACCTCCGAGCACCCAACATTCAGCTGCCACCATACCAGGTGGTTCTGTCCCTGCCACAAAACCAAACCTGCAGAACATGTTGCATGAATTCCAGAAAATCCTGGCAGCAGAACTAGCATTTCTCAACACAAGAATGCAGCAGGTCACAGATAGGGTTTACACAGAAGAGGGTGACATTCAGAACATACAGAGTAGAATGGCTACAATGAACAAGACCATACTACAACTACAACCCACCCAACAGTCATTTTCACTACAGCTGTTAGCCCAAGAAGACAGATACAGACAGAAGCATATTAAAATCAGTGGCATACCCACAACAGTAACCAGGTAATAAATGCCACCCTACATCAGAAGGCTCTTGGTATTGCCTCCGGCTGGGGATGTAATCCTGCACTGCTCCCTACCACAGGAGAAGGTCCAAATCAAGGCTGTCCTGAGGGGCATTACTCAACTCATGCATGAGGACTCCAACTTATCCTTCTACCAAGACCTAACCAGGGCCACGCTTCAACAGCGCAAATCACTGAGCCAACTTACTGGACACGTGCGCTCCGCAGAAGTAACGTATCGATAGGGGGCACCAAGATCGCTAATTGTCACCCACACTCCTTACAGCTTTGGGTCTCACGGACTTGACACCCAGTACTCCTGCTCAGACATATATCCAGACCTGGGACCCGACCCAAGTGGTGCCCTTTGTGCCAAGAACTGGACATGGGAACATCGCTGCCACTGACTGAAAACATGACCCCAAAAGATCAGCAGGAGAAGCCACAGCCCAAACTGTTTGTTTATGTTTATGATTTTGACATTTTCATGTTATTCTTTTAGCCCTCTTCCTTTTTGCTGCTTTATAGCACTAAGTTACATCCCCCAACTACCGGGAGATGCCTAACACTAGCATCGCTAAGGCAAACTCTTTTTCACTCTCTGTTGACACAATCATACATTTTAATCATTTTCAGACATCCTCTTGTACTGCACTAACTACAAGTCTGAAATCTTGCATATAATACTCCCTAATCTATATTTTGCCTCTGACCACACATATGCCACTATGCTCTTCCTAGCAAGATGCCTCAATATCTCCTTTACATTAAGGTAATCTGTTTCTATCTTGTCATGGTCTCCTAGGGTCACAAACTTGCTTATGTATAAAAGAAAAAAACATGCAGCCTTGCCATGATACCTTTTGTTTACTGTTATGTGTTTGACTGACGCAAATGTGTCCCATCATGCTTTTATTGTACCATATGCACAACGAAAATAAAGAATATATATATTTTTTTTTAAATAAAACACTGTATCAGTTAACTATGGAATGAGAATCCAACAAGAAATAAGGTAGAAATGGCAGCCATGGATATTTAAGTTGAACAATTAATGGTGAATGAATGTATTTCTACTAATTAAATATGAGGCTTCCCCCTCTCGTCTTCTCTTATATCCTCTTAGCGAAATATTTGTGTGTATTATTGTATGTCATTTAGCGTAAAATCAATAAAAAGGAAGCAACGGGAAAAAAAATTATATATAAATAAATAACTTTAATTTGATGTGACATATACATATATAACTTCTCATTTATAATACAAAAATTACACAAAAACGCAATGAAAATACATATATTCTGATATACTGAGTACATAATAAGTCTAGGTTTATGGTTTATTTTGTTTATTTTTAGTAGTTACAGGTAAAAAAATACAAGAAGTAAAAAGAAATTTCAATGTGAAGCGATTTAAAAATTTGGTATGTTAGTCTTGAAAGCATAATAGCTGTCACAGATAACACAAATGCCATACAAAATGATTTACTTAAATAAAGTAGACATCACACCTAAGTGTATTTTGACACTTATTGTGTAGCCATTTAACTGCCAATCTCTGCTAAATATTGGAGAAGAATTTAGAGGTTTTTTTTCAGATATAACAAGCTTTTTTATATGTGCATTCTGTAAAACCATAAAGTCTATGATTTGTTATATGAATATTGTTATATTTTGGTTCTTTGTTTTTCCATTATCACTTTCAGTGGTCTCCGTTGGAAACAATAAGGGTTGACCTTATAATCTATATTGCTTTCTGCCCAATTTAAACTATTAACAGGTAGATGCGGGGAGCAGCACCTGTGGTGATATTCCTCAAATTCTAAGCAATATAAGGGATACGATGGGAAAACTTAATATAGTGTTGTATGTATTGGATATCAAATAAATACAAAAAAAAAATTAGTGCATTTACATTTTTTTGGAGCTTGAAATCAGCTCCAGATTTATGCATCTGGATAGTACAATCCCCATCTGTGGATGTGGTGGTGGTACTTGTGCGTATTCGGAGGCATTTTCCACAGTGGTACGGTAGACCAGCAGTCAAGTATCCTTAGTATATAGGAGAGGAATAAAAACAGAATATAGTGCTCTTTGTATGTATTGAAAATGATAAAAAAAGTGGATAAAAAGAGGTATACACACAAATGGAGAGCAAATATAGGTATTGCTCAATCCTAATAAGCATGGGTGGTATAATCCCCTCCAAGGATATCACTGTGTGAGTCTTCTGATAAAAATCTTCAAAGATTGGATAAAAGTGATTACGTTTATTTGGAGACAAACACCTACATAAAGGCTTTCTCAAAGGATACTTGACTGCTTGACTACCATACCACTGTGAAAAATGTCTCCGAATATGAACAAGGACCACCATCACATCCACAGATAGCCCATATATATAATGTAATTTGTTTACATTATATATATATATATATATATATATATAATGTAATTTGTTTAAGCAATATTTCAATGTTGTAAAGATAAGCACACTTGCAGAAACTCAGTAAAATATTATTTAATTCTGACTAATACATTTCAATCATTCAATTATTAGAAATGGGGACATGATCAATCTCAGGCTATTGAGGTACAATTTCCATCTCAGGAGCCAATGTGTCCAAAAAGTAACAAAGCTGATATTCCAAAATAAAAAGAGGGGCTTTCTAAGTTTTTTTGTTGTTGTTGTTTTATTAATTACTATTCTCTCCCAATTATCCTCTACTTAAATTGCAAGTACCAATACTCACATATTTATCTCAACAGAGGAAGCATACATTATCCTCCTCTCACTTAGGACACATCTCTTTTGTAGGGAGCCAGATCTAATTATTTGAAAAACGACATTCTAACATGTGAGTGCAGAGATCAGACCACTCTGCTATTTTGACCTAAATTTATAATTTCAATTGTCAGTTCAATAAAATAAACTGTTCAGTAAATAACATGGTAAATGCAAGTGCAGGTTAAATTGATTTGCTTATACTGTTTTCATAACTATGACATTTGTATCTTTGTGTATTTAAAGGTACTCCAATCATATACTGTATAATGCAATACACTTTTGTTTTCATAAATGATTAACAGTCTTGGTGGGCAAAAGATAATCAAAATTTTCTGCTGTGTCATTATGGTTTTAGCATTTCTTCCAGCAGCAGAAGCTTAAAT